AATTGAAAAACTTTGCTGTAATGCAAAGATTGACCAATGTTTGCTCTAAACCACCGAACCAAGCATGCATTTACTACCCTTTCGGCAGGCATGCATTGAGACAAGAAAAAAAAAAAGCTTTAAGGGAAATATAGACCAGTAGCATCTTGTAGGCTTTACTTTATGTATCCATTGCTATGAAGATGTAACTGTTGTAATGAGTAATGTAAAAGAGTATCTTCATTTGAAGCGTAACATCCTGAGTCTCTTTATGCTTGTCAGCGGAGGATGAGGTACATTTCAGGATGGTTTGAACTCGACATCACTGCAGAAAAGATCGTGTACCTGCACGTGTAACAGTTCAGTACTTGCTTTTATTCTCTTTGTTTTCATCAGGTTGATTTCAAATTTGTTTTTGTCAAAGTAACTAAATTTCGTGAGACCAACAATAAAAACTCTAAATCTTTTGAGGCCTAGGGTAGGTTGTACCCCAAAAGAAAAAAGGAATGGAAGAAAAATACCTTAAAATTAAACCAGCTGTGAAGCTCACCTACTTTTAGCTCCGGATGCTGGTTTTCTAATAGTTCAACTGTCAGCGGGGGGATGATGTGGGGTGACAAAAACCCCATGTATCTTTATTCTTAGCAAAAGACTAGGAACGATAAACAAAAATCCTTCTCCATGTAGAATCTCTCCAAGGCAAGGCACCTGGGAGTGGCCCCGCGAAAACGAAATTGAACATGAACAGGATTACCTAAAATTTGCGCAATAAATTTACAACAATAGAAGAAAAAAATTAGCCTTCGCCCTGGGGAATTTTCTACTGTGCTAAACATGGTGTAGACGACCAGGCATGGTCCCGGGCCAAGCAGAAGCTAGAACTCTCGGCACCCCTGTCCAACGGTTAAGGGCCCCTGAGACCCCCCGAATCCGCTCAATGATAGCGTTACGTCTGACGTTCCGGATTTACCAAAGAAATGTAGGGAGAGTTAATTTGCTGATTGGCTAGATCGGATTTCAGTATCTGAGCAACCCAGGTAATTCACACCTCCGTACCTAATGTTTGTTTCATTTTACAATGTTTTATACATCTTAATATACTCCTGTGGTAAATGCTGTTGTTGATTTACTAATACCTAGGCTACATATATTAGTAAGAAAAATTCCCTTAGTACGACTGGTAGAAATTCCAACCTAATGATGAAAATGGAAATTATTCTTTACGATACTTATATCAGATCAGAGATCCGCGTGATACTTAGCACTCATCATTTTGCTCAGCTATAACGCGAGGTATATTATATATCTATTGTGGTGTGTCGGGAGACTCCATAGTTCCTCTCCTCTCATTTACTTGTCGCCCCAGCGAGTCGAAGAGCGTGTGGCACCTTTCTTGACATATATAACCGTATGCGTCACGAGTAATACTTTACATAAATTGACACGCGAGTGTCTTGCCGTCCTTTGCTTGAGAGCATATTTGACGTGTGTATGTGCTGTCTCATTCTATATCTATACTGCGAGAACAGAACTGAGAGGCGTGTGCTCGATGTACACTCCCTCACAACACACGCTACTCCAATACTCATCACACGTTCCGACTGTATCTCTCTCAGGATTTATATTTGATTTTTGTGCAGACAAAACATATATATGGTTTCTTGCTTTGATGGGCTGCATTACACCTGAAAGAGTCACATTGCGAGAGAACTAATATTCACTAATCACAGCGACAAGTATTTACTAACACAACGAGGACAAGTCTCTCTATACTCGATTGATTTTACTTTTTGTTAATGATGGATATGCTTAGTCACACAATACAGTCATCCACGTAATGTGGGTCCTATGCTCACGAGATGTATTCCTTCGCGACGGAGATTACTATTATATCACACATCTTATCAAGATTAGTTAAAAGAAATTTCCTATTATACTTTTCTCAATACAAGAGCAGAGTACACATTGTAATTTAGAAAATGTAAACTGGTCTTCAGATTTCTGGGCTTCAACTAGATAACTAAGTATAATTACGAAAATAAGTAATCAGTAAAGTAACTGGATTTACTTTTTTGGGGAAATAATCAGTAATTAGTTACTGATTACTTTTTTCAAGTAACTTGACCAACACTGGTGATTACTGCTGAACTACTCGGGCTGATAGTTGGTACCTCAGTAGCCACAATGCTTGTCATTATCATCAGAACAAGGATCTTATCATGATACATTATTAATAACTATGCCACATTTAAGTTACTTAAAGTCAGCTCATCTTCACCTTGTCTACATGCCTAAATACACTGATTTGGTGTCACATGATGGGCTGATTAGATATTTGTATTAACAGATATAAACAGTTCCACCTAACAAAATGCACTTTCCCCACCACACAACCAGACTCAAACGTTTTTTGTGATAAGTTGGATTACAGTAAAGGGCCAGACTGTAAGCTGTATATAAAAAATTTAATTAACATTTCTTTTAAATTTAAGAAACACGAAACATTTAAAATGAGAGAGGAAGTCAAGACATAGCCAATGTATACGAAACAGAGAATTGTAGATCTCAACTGACAGTGAACTGAAGTAAACATACATATATATATCCAGCTATCACACCAGTCCACATGTCTGATTGCGTCTTCGCTCATATAATTTGCCTTCACTCTCACTCACACGTTTCATGGCCTTAGAGGCTGTATATCAAATGGAATATGCGTTGATGTCACCCCGAGTTATCGTCTCAAATCCCTGAGCGGTTCAAAACTCAGCCATTTAGCCTGTATTATATCACAAAAATTGTGTTGCTTCTAATCTCTCGAGTGGCTGAATTTATGTCTAGCTCCGTGGAGATGGATCGTATAGTGCACATAATAGAATTCGATAACCAAAGTAGCCCATTTCACTAAGCAGCTGGGTATGAGGATAACTCTGTCATTAGTCAGAGGAATGATTGTAGGAGTCTTTCGTTTCATCTAATTAAACGAATCATTCTAACTCCTTTAGTTTAGTTACTGCCTCTTTGGTCTTATGCATTTGAACATCACCAAGGTCATTCCGTGTGAAAACTAGAACGATCAGTACCATATGACGAAGTCATTCTAAGCTCATCAACAAGACTATTTCTTTATATATGGTGAGCAAAATGACAAAAGGGGTGTTTATACACGCAGGATGTAGTATCTCCTATTATTTTCATCAGTTTCCTGTCAAGACAGAGCTCATCATAGCAGAAAAGGAAAACCACAGAATTAGTTTGGTGAAAATGGAAAGGTTTAAACTGCAACTGTATCAAGATCAACAACCACAAATAACCATGTGCAGAATTAACAGAAGTCTACTGGAGAACATTATCTCTAAAGCATTACATCGATGCAATCGAATTTCACAACTTTCAAATATCACACAATGAAAATAAATATAAACATTTGATATAAGATTTTATGGAAAAAAGTTTATACTTGTTTTGACAGCACAGAGTGAATCTGGAGACGTCACATGTGTACACATCTTGTGTTCAACATTTTCACACCCACAACCAAATAACGCTGACAGGAAATGCTAGAAAGTAGCATTCAATAGTCAAGGTGTTAAGCTCAGTTTTCCACCACGACAGACACTTTTGCAAACCAGTTTTTGTCACAAACTATGCTCACGACGCAACACCTGCGTACGGGGTTGTGACAGTAATATTGAGCAATATTTTTCACAGACCCAAGCAGACAGGACACTGGGCAGAGTACAGCACCTCAACTTTAACTATAAGTTATGAAGCTGGATAACATACAGTGCTGATCTTTACAATTATTGATTTTGGTTTATGCCTGCTGTAATAAACTTTGATAATATGAATAAATTCAATAAAGGCAACAGGTAATGAAGTTGATTTTACTGGAGAACTTTGTTGAACCTTTCTGTTTCTGGTTTCTGCATTGCCCAGTTACTTCTGCATTGATTGTGTAACTTTTTTTTATGTTTATCTTCCATTTCTTTTCATCTTCCTCCTTTCATAGTTTGCTGAAGAGTAATAGGAACTCTCACTGAATGTTGTCAGTGCTGTTGTCAGGAACAGAACTTCTCTGCAGGGTAATTTTACTTTTATGGCCACGTAACACTGGAAATGTCAGGTTAGCAAGCAAGAACGGTCTGCTTCATGTAACTGAACCGTCCTGCAGAAATGCAGCGATAGACTGCTGAGTTAACATCAGGTGCAGTTTTTTTGCTGTCGTGGTGGAGATCACCATGCAGGTGTTTCGTTTCATTCCGGTAAAGTTGTTTACATTCAAAACACTTTAGAGGTTTGCAAAAAGCAGCTCATTGTGAATGCTTGCATCTATTTCCTGAAAAAACAGCTGAATAAAGTCGTGGGTGGCAAACATAAGGCCCAGGGGCCCGAATCGAACCAGCGAACACTTGAATTTGGCCCACAGGACAGTTTCGGAAAATATCAAAAAGTGCATAGATTTTGAATTTCAACTTTGATACGATTTACAGCTTTTCCTATTGATAAAGACTGGCCACACCCATACTATACCAATGTAATTGCCAAAGAGGTAAAAGATTAAACTATTATTAATGAGCCAACATAAAATGAACATATTTAGAATTTATAACATATTTTATAATTACAGGACAGCCTCAGTGCACACTACTCCAGGTCACATACTACTGGGGGGCTAGTCTCTCTCATCCAATGACCTAATCTTCTAAGGTTATATAGACAACTGATATGACTGCCTCATCATCTATATGTCAGAAAATATATACGCGCGCTTTGCAAGTATCAGATGTCTCGAAATATAACCCCGCATCCGAACTACTGCTGGCCCGTTAGTAGAATTATAAAAGCTCTATACGGTCCAACTGGGTACTGCATTTCACTCCTTTGTTGGCCCAAACGCTATACGTCGTTGATTTTTTTGACTCTGGATATTAAAGATCTCTGGTTGACACAACTTTGCATTTCTTTGTTGCAATTAGATGATTTTTTTTCTTATGCAGTGATAGAGCAGCATCTGCTAGACTAGATCAAACACTGATTAGTCCTCTGACTTGCAGCCTGTGGGTGCTTTTCTAGCACATGCACACATGAAACCATGAGGCCAAAATATTCCTTTGGTTACGACTAAACACCTAAACAAGTGTTCATATTATCATCAGGCAATTTTTTTTTATCACAATAACAAACCAAACCAACACAAAAACACAACAGAAAATGATAAAAATGCTAAACGTAAACATACTCTGTGTCTGATTTGGGTTGACGAGAAACTGTGACCTCGGAGTACGTGACGTCGTCAACATACACGCTCTCTCTGAGTTTGTAATTGGTTAAAGGAGAGGCATCTCTGGATGGTTTCACTTTGATGTCAGAGTACACCACATCCTGTGAACACATGTAAGAAAACATGATAATTGCTCTCTTGTAATTAAAAAAAACTATGGCAGGACAACAGCATAAATATAAATTAAATGTATCTGACCAAAACGTATTCATTCAAGTTCAAAAATGGACCCTCAAACCATGGAGCTCACCTGGTCTCTCTCAGTTGCAGATGATTGCGACTCTCTCTCTGGACCAGTCGTATCTGAAAGACATACATGTTTCGTTACAGAAAAATGAAAATAATTTAAGTATTTACAAAACCAATTAGTGGAAATTGTTGTGCATGTTCTTACCAATGACGAAACGAAACCCAGCGGAAGAATGGCGTCTGAGAAAACGAGACAAAAGTGATTTTGGTGATTTAGAAGAGAAGTTTGGTTTTTAGCTACAATTATAAGTTTTGATCAGTCTGATGATTATAGTTTAATTGTTGTTTGGTCCGTGAAACAGCAATTAAACAGAAACAGCAAACAGCTTCCCAGAGTCTAAAGTTTCTTAAGGCTTAAAGTCTTGACCATAAAATGGATTTCCTTCCTTTATGGTGAATTTTGGCCACAAAGACGATGGATCCCTCAAATATGATTCAGTCAACAGTAGTCTCTATAATACAAATAACACACGAGAACATACACTCACCTTCTAATGCGGATGAAATAAAGCATGGCCACCATGATCGCTAACAGCAACAAGACAGCAGTTACTATAGCAAGAACTATTCCTGCTGACAGTGGTTTCGTTTCTGGCGGAATAAAGTATGATTATAGTCCACAGCTCATTAACATCAAACTAACATTAAACCAGCCTACTAACAAAAACTAGCTTTCATGTTTTACAGCATAAACATTTTAACTAAACATGGAAACTTTAATCATGAGTAATATTAGATGTTGGTCAAAATTTCTGATGTTAAAATGAATACGACACAAAAGCAGAAAAAAGTTATTCAAACTGAATGTTTGGTTTGTGTCAGCTAAATTTTGAAGATTGTACCTAATAAATATTACCTCATATATAACTTTAAATGTTGTTTTGGCAGCTCAGTGTATAAAAGCAGTTACAGTCTTACCTCGAACAACAAGTTTGGTGGTTCCTTCAAATGTACCACTGGGAAAAGTGGAAATGCTGCAGGTATAGGATCCTGCATCTTTCATTTCTAGAGCCTTAATTATCAACGAATGTTTATCAAACGCCACTCTCTCCTTCAGTGGACTCTCAGAAATATTCACTCCAAACATAGTGTTGAAAACAATGAGAGTGACTTTCTTTTTTCCTGCTCCTTCTTCATCCTGGAGAGCCCACTGAACCTGAGTAACATTGGTATATGTTGGTCCTTGGATTAACTGACACCTCAGGGTGACATCATTTCCAATGTATCCAGTCACTTCAGGTGAGACTTCGACTCTTTGTGCCACAAAAACTGCCAAAAGGTAAATGACGACAGAAAGATGAGGGGGAAGCGAGACGAAAATAGAAAAGAGATCAGGTTTCAAACTAGTATTTATTCATGATGTTTTCAAGCATTTCTAGCATAGCATGAGTGTTTTAGAAAATCTGGTAAAAACATAAAACTGGGTCTTACGTGGGAAAAATGTAATGTAAATTAGCTGAATCAGCAGGTGAGATCGTCCGTTGCACATTTTCATTGTACACAACAACAGGAACTAACAACACAGAAAAAGAAAACTTACAAATCATACAGGATCTCTGATTAGGTATGTCAGCTTTCAAGATAAACTCAAAGAAACTTACACAATTACAAACAGAGGGATCCGTAACCTTTTAGTTCAGTCCAAGGCTAAAACCTGGAGACTAGACTGAAATATTCGACCACTGAAAAAAAGAGTTCGCAAAGAGGAACATAGGCTGATTTAAGTTCTTAAATGCAGCAGTAAACAAAACGAGACATTTCCCATGAAACCACAGGCTCAAAATAACTCTGTTGACTAAGACGCAATGAAACTTGGGGTGGGTTGAAACTTTACTTTTTTTTTTAAATAAATGTATCTGCCTACAGCTATCCACCAGAAAAATGTACATTCAAATAAAAAAAACTTACCCGTTAAGGGGAGAAAGAACGGCACAGCCACGTCAGAAACCAATTTGTCATCCATCAGAACTCTAACTGGAAATGTATTGTGTACCCGAACCATTACACAGTGATCTTTAACTTTGTGATTTTCAGCTCCTGTGTAGTGAGCATGATGTCAGGTTACTCCTCTCTGCCTCCTTTCATGTTCTGCTCAACGGGGACCTCATGTGGTCAAATCAGGGTGATCTCGGTTAGATACTGAGCTATGCTGACTTTGTTTTATTGCCACATGAGAAAAATGCTGATAAAATGCTTGAACACATGTGCATTTAGTCAAATCCCAGTTTGAGCCTGTGGGAGCATTTTGAGGATGTAGGGCTCGAACTATTCCATTTTCTATTACATAAATGAAACATTTGCAGGTGTAGAAATGTCCGCGCTTTCGTTCCACTTTATTTGAAGGAAGTTAACATCACTTTAACAATAAATATTAATTGCCGGACGTGGTAACATTGGTTGTTTTTTAGGGCGCATACATATATGGATTTGCATGTGACAAAAATGGGGGTATTATACACTTCTGTTTTTTCAGCACACAGAATAGATCTGTGCATTTAACCTTCATGTGGATTGTCCTAACTTTAAAGTTTAAAGGTTGACTTTGCATTGAAAAATGTGTCCATGGGCATATGAACATATTGCATAAAACTACCTTGAGGACTATATTTTACTACAGAGACTGAAAACAGCAAAAGCCTGACTGTTACTGCTGGTGACAAGGTTTTCAAAACTGTGGTTGAAGTGGTTGACATGTCTGCTGTTTGCTTGTGGTTTGATGGTTAGTACATGTCTGTGACTTCAACATCCTCACTTCTGACTGTCAACCTGCTTGCTTGACAAGGTTTAATTAATGATAAGAGAAAGAAAGATTAAAGAAAACACACACGCAACATCAATTCCTGTGGTGACTCATGGACTCAGTGAGTCTATAAATGAGTTTCATGTGTGAGTTCAGAGTTACTTTATTTATCTAACTCAGTTATTTACACGGCATTACCATCCGCATGTTGTTCTTCATTCTGCCTGACTATCTGCTCAGCTCTAGTGTGGGCAGTGACATATTAAACTGAGCTCTAGGCTCAGACTGGTTTCTTTTTACTGCCACTTGTGATTACGGAAGTTATAAAGATCAGCTGAAATACTACCTCATTTTTGTGTGTCTGCAGCATACTGACTGGCCCAACAACGCAAGCCTAGTTCCCACTGTGGCTTTTAGCTTCTTTAAAACTTTAAATAAGATCCCGAATGATAACAGTAAAAACAAAAAATTTAGCGCCTCATATCAGTGAGCTCTCATTGGGCCTCCTTAAGAAAGCATCAGCTCAGAGAGGCGCATATCGTTATCTCCACCAGAGTCGAAGGCTACATTAGTCTCAGATGAACAACTGGGTAATCAGGTCATGGATGCAAAGCTTTGTGAGTTTCAAGTTGTTTGAACTCAGCTTGCTTTGCACATGTGAATTAGAAATGTGCACAGCAAGGTGGAAATAACTGATGCAGGCACAGCTCTGCATCCTCAGCTGTACTCAAGTCAAAGCACACACAATTGTTTCTTATCACAGACAGTGGTCACTGAAAACTCAGTGCTTTGATTTAGTTCAAATATGGACCCAAATGCAAAAAGCTGTATTATAAAAGCTGATATTAAACAAAGGAGAATAATTCAAAAATGCTAGTTACAAGAATACAATTAAATTAAAGTAAATTACATTAAAAAAAATCTTTAGAGGGCTGACTAGGGAAGTGGAGACTGTTGGAAGAATGCACAGGTGCACTCAAGATAATCTCAGGGGGAAGCAAAACTTAAAATGAACCACAAGAGTCAACCAGCTGCTGAAGTAAAATGGGAAATAACTTATTAGACACCTACTAAACACAGAAAGAAGAAACTCACAGTAAAACGTGGCACAGAGATGATGGATTTGGCAGATGCAAAGCCAAAGGGGAATTCTGCCACAGACAGGAACTGAACCTGCAACTTTCTACTTGTTGAGCAATTTTTTAACCACTAAAGCTCTCCACAAGACTGAGAATAAATGGAGAAACCAGAGACTCAATGATTTTAATAACGGATCCAACTTATAACGTATAAGATGCAAGAATAAAAAAAATGGGGAATAAACCTAAAGCGAACCTATACTCAACTAAAAACCAGTGGGTCCCTAATTACTGTAAATATAGTGGTGATGCATTCAAGAAAAAATGAAATCCAAATAACCACTAGTAATATTTGTGCTGCTGATCAGTTTCTCCCAAAATATTCTCGCAGGTCTTGAGTGAAGCCATGAAACACTGTGACCTGTGGTTTTCCACAGTGGACAGTCAGTGTTGGTTACAATAAAAAAGCATTTATGACCTTATAATTCATTAAAGCAGTCAAAACTTTTATTGCATCCAATAGATCACACAACAAGTGTGAGATACAAATCAACATAAGTTAATGATTACTGATCTGTTTAAGTAATCCTATCGAGGAGTGATGAGTGGTAGCATCAAAGTATGCTTCTGCGAAATAATGATTTATGCAAAGTGGTTGATTTTTTAATTAAGCATCCAGAGTCCCTTATCGGGGAAAAGAACCTGAAAGGAAAATCAAAACAGGCTAAATTAATTAAATTATAAAAACAGATAAAGCAATGATACAAAAATACTTTGTGCCTTAACAATAAGGCAAACAAATAGAAATAATTTATCTCACTGGTCATATCTCACATGCTCTTTGTCTTATATTAGCCCTTTCAGAGTGAGTGCATAGATGACCAACCCTGAGGATGACCCACAGGGAGCAATGCAGGATGCTTTAGTGAGAAAAGAGAACAATTGCCATCACTACATTGTAAAATATATGAAATGATGACAAAATAAAGGCTGTACTATTATTGAATAAGTGCATTCTTTGGTTTCTTACCTCTCAGATCCAGAACTGTGGAGCTTTCCATCATGGTCACTGTGTTTTTGGCAGTGCAGGTGTAATTTCCAGTGTTTTCTGCCCCTAACCTCTCTATGATATACAACGAGTTATAAACATGCGTCTCATTGCCATTAAACATCCAGCTGAAGTGTGCTGGTGGGACCGAGTCTGCGGTGCACTGCAGCGTTATACTGTGACCTTGAGGAGCAGCTGAGGGTCTGCTGATCAACATGTTGTATGGTCCAACTGCACAATTAAAATACAGTGTTAGGGACATTCAGACTATTACTGCTAATATAGCTGTCTTTAAAAAAAAGTTAAAGTAAATTAATTTTAACTTGATTTATTCATGTTTTCTTTAATAGAAACACTGTGAATGCACGGTGAATACTCACAGCTGACAGTGAGATTATGGGTCGCAGTCATGGTGCTGACCGGGTTGCTGACTCTACACTGATAGGTGCCGCGGTCAGAAATGTGAACAGGCTGTATGGACGCTGTCTTGTTGTCCAAGGAAAAGCTGACACCGCCACTGGGATTAAGAGGCTGGCCATCTTTTATCCACTCTCTGGAGCTGATGGAGCCAGAGGCCTCACAGGTGAGGTTGGTGGAGCTTTCATCTTCTTATCAGGATGGCTGTGGGGCTGCGGATGGTGGCTCCAGACGATAAAAAGTGTCAACTTTGGGTGAAATGATGGAAAAAGAAGCAACACAGTTTGTGTGAAACATATATGTGTCACTTTAAGTAACATTTTGTGTGACAGTAACTTTAAAATGACATAAATCTATCAAACAGCTTCACCTTCATGATTTCATTGGGTCATAATTCATTAATTATGTTCCAATTTCAGATAGATTTTTAACTGTCTAACATTTAAAATGGTAGATATTTATATTTCTGTTTGAATTTCTATTATTTTTTATTATTAAAGTGTACAAGTATGAATATCGTGGTGGTAGAGTGTAATTGAACTGCATCCTGTAAATCCAGTGCAATCTAACAACAACCCAAACTTTAATTTATATGTTAGTCCTTTGGGACCCTGTTTCACACACTTTCCCTCTCAGTATAAGCACACACTCTGTTTTCCGTGTCATGTTTGTTTTATGAATGTGTTATCAAAAAGAAATTCAAAAGGAGTTTTGCATATTTGACTATCATTAAGCATTTACTCGTGTAGGGCACACAAGGTTTGGTGCCCTATATAAATGTATAAAGACTAACCCACCATACACAGTCAGATTGGTCCTCCCCTGTTTTGGCAGCCCTGCATCTGGTGTGATGGTGAAGGTGTACTCCACGCTGTCCTCCAGTGCCAGGTATCTGAGCTCCAGGGACCCTGTGGCTCGGTCTAATGAGATCCTGCCGGCATATCCAGGATCAGTGATGTTGATGCTGGTGGAACTGATGATGTTCATCCCATTGAACCTCCAGCTTACTGAGAGGAATGGTTCCTCTGGAGGTCTGAGAGTGGTGGTGAACTTCACTGTGCCTGCTACAGCTCCACTCAGGGGTCCAGTGGGTAATATACCCTCACCTACACACATACCTGATTAACAACAAAAAAAAAAATTCAGAAGGCTTGAAAAAAAAATCCCCATTTCTTTATTTCTGTCTGCACATCATGTGAATTTAGCCTACCTGATAAAAGAAGCATAACTGCAGTCCATGGGATGGACTTGTCCAATACTGACTTTTCTGACATTGTCTCTCTGCCTTCTGAAATCAAAACAGAAAGAGTCTCAGGAGCTCTTGCTCTTTTATTGACCCACATCACAGGACCCTCTACAGCCCCCCACTCAGTAAGGAAAACCACTAAGATCCTTTGTGACACTGTTGTGTTGTGTGTACATACATACAGAAATGGAATTTGGAAAAAAAACAGGATTTAATCTGAACAGGAAAAAACAAAACACGATCAAGCTTCTGACAGACCATATAAAATGCACCTTATTCAAGTATAGATGGATAAACTAATTTTGCACAAGTTTTCTCCAAATGTTTTAGCCTTAGACAAAAAAAATAAAATAAAAAAAATGGTAGGGGGCATATCCTGCCGGCATGTTCAGGATCAGCTTCTGTACTAAAATAAAACAACTTTAAAATGTAATGACTGCATTCCCCTCCTAGTTCTTTTATTTCTTCTAAAGCAAAGTATTTGTGAATTATTTTAAACATATATAAACATCTGAAGAAGGTTTATGAGTCATGATGCTGGTGGTGCCTTTTATGTTAACGGAGAGTTTTATGTGCTCCCTGCTAAGTGGGTTTGGGTCTCTTTTGGGTGCAACTGCAGTGATCCATAGCTTTCCTTGCAGAGGAGGATCAAAGAGGAGACACTCAGAGTCCTTCAGACAGCCTTACAAACAAATCATTTCCTTTAGTGCTTCCAGAATGAATGATTTATTAAAAGAAATAAAGATCTTATGTAATGTGTAAATAATTCCTTTGTAATCATTCATGCACAATGAAGTATTGTTCGACTTGTGCGACTGCCCTAATGCTGTGAGGCACCCATTAGATCAGCTGAAGAGATAAATGATTGACAGTGTGCCACAGTATAGTTCCTGAAAACATAATTATAATGTGTTTTTGTGAGTGGGCATTGCATTGTAAATATGATATTATACGGTAAACTGGGTGTGTTAGGGATTTAAATAACTGTAGCAACATTTCTATTGTGACCTGCAGTAAAACCTATATTTTGTTACACAAGCAAACCTTATGATATAGTAACAGTGAATGAATCTTAAGTCTGTTCCATAAAACAAATGCAAATTTGAGACTTTTATCTAAAATGTCGCTCTGTGATGTATTTATCCAATTATTTTACTCTGGCTTCAGAGAAATGCTTCTGTATACTGTTTGATAAATTAAATTCAGGTGACTCGATGTATTTGAATATAACATATTTAGTTGTTTGGATCGCTTTGAGTTCTAAATTAGACCTCACCTCTACAACACACGTGCAATTTTTAAGTAGAGGGAAAATAAATAACTCTAATAATAGATATATAAATACCTTCAAAATATGGTGAAAATGTTAAACTACAGAAATGTTTTCATTATGAAATTTGTTAAAGAACAATTATAATATAAGAAAACTGAGATTAGTGACTGTATCAACAACAATGACTACAATAAAAACATTTGTTAAAAAATAAGTATTTAGAAGAAAATCTGGATTGAGAGCTTGAAATATTTGCCATCAAAGCACTTCTATCACAAGCTGATGCTGATTCAATGAGAATAACATTAATGTAACATATAATAATATGCCACAACTCTCAGATAAATCAGATTAATCCATTTTCATAATGTTGGTTTGCCATGTTTAAACTGTGAAGGTTCCCTTCAGTGAGTTACCCTCTTATTATCAAAGATCATTTTCTGTTGTTTCATGTGCATTATCAATATATTTGCAAAGTCTAATAAACAGGATGGTGATTTTCCATCTGGATCTACAAAAAGTACTGGGAACCAGCAATCCTTTCAGTAGCAGGAGGGAGAGAGCTACAGACTGCAAAAAATAACTGTCACTACATTTGCATTGTTTTTCTCCAACACAGTTGGCATTAATTTAGTCAGTATATGCAAGAAACAATGGCAATTTATTTTAAGAATCAACAGGGCAAACAGTTTGGGAACTTCCTGCATAGTCTGGAATTTCTTTGACACTTATAATAATATAAAGATAAAACCTAGAATCACTTAATACTTTCAAATTACATCAACTGACTAAAGCTCATTAAATAAAAAGTGAATTTAAGAAATGGCACATGAAAAGAGTAAAAGAGATAAGCAGTTTAAGAATATT